TGGGCTGGTCTGCAGAACAGCTGGAAAGCAACCAACCGCTTTAGGAATGGAGAGGCCAGTAGTGAAGGGACCTCTGCTTCTCCCCCAAGAGTGCCTCCAACAGGCCCTTTCCCTGTGACCACCAGGACCTTGCTGACGTTCTAGGCCCCAGGACAGTAGCTCTTGACAGGCAGGCCACGAGTGACGCCCAGCTAGGAGGCCTGTGTTTGGGGGTGGGGCCACATAAGGGGGGTAGGGCTCACTGGAGGGGCAGGGCCTCCTGCTCCAAGTGGTGGGTCCACACAAGTGAGGGCAGGGTGGAGGGCACTGGAGGGGCAGGGCTGCACAAGTGGGTGGGGCCAGCCAGCCCAGCTCCCCAGCTCTTCAGAAGTGGAGAGGACGTGCAACGGCTGGGCCCCCAGCAGCTACACCCTAAAGTAGACACCCCAGGGGGGCCGGCAGCACATCCCAGCCAGGCAGCCCGGCACTCACCCCAGGACTCACCCCAGGATGGTGGCAGCAGCCTCCCTGCAGCTCAGTGGGGGGTGTGCGCAGTCACATACCAAGTCCCCCACCCCCTCAAACTCAGATGTGGGGCCGGGCATGCTGACGGCTCCCAGCCTGGCCTCCTGGGCTTCCAGGCCACTAGGGAGCAGAAAGCACACTGGGCCGTGGCTCCCTCTGCTTCCCACCCCAAAACGTTGTTTTGAAACCACTTAGCACTTACTAGCTATCTGCTGCATGACCCGTTTGTGCGTGGCACCAAGTGGGATGCAGAAGAAATACGAGACCTAGCCCTTCCCAAAGGAACTCGGTGACTGAGGAAAAATCACAAAAATAAAACACCTGTGTGGTTACGAGTTGTAGCCCCGTCTCCCATTAACAGAGGAAGGTCAGGTAGATGGGTAGGAACAGAGGCAGAGGTCGGTCCAGGAGAGCTCCCTACGCAGGCACCGTGAGAAGGTCGACACCAGCTTGTCCTAGGTCCACAGCCCTTCCTGTCAGTGCTCAGAAGACGGAGAAAGGCAGGACATTCCCCCTCACAAACAGGGAAACTGAGGCTCAGAGAAGCTTTGGTGCTTGCTGTGGCCACGTGACCCGTTAAGGGACAGAGCCGGATCCAAGCCTAAGCCTGACACCAGGGCCTTGAGGCTGTGCCCGGGTGGGGACAGGCCAGCCTGGGGCCACCCACAGGTCCTCTGGTGAGTGGGGAGGAGCAGCTGCAAGTTCTGGAGAAAGGAGGTCACTCAGCCAGGGCTGGGGAGCCACAGCAGGGCGCCTGGGACCTGGGAAGAAAGGCCAGCTTCGTACATCTCCCAGGAGGCGCCCTGGGAGGCCAGGAAGATGAGGCTCACCAAGTGTCTCTGCACCGGGTGGCAGAAGCCTTTCCAGGGGAGCTGCTGGGCCACCTTACCTCACACCCACTGCAGCCTCCACCCACCACACGCTTCGGAGCCCTGCCTGCCCTCCCCGCCCACACGGCCCTCGCCCAGACCCACTCACAGGTGCTGCGGGGACCATCTGCCTTGGCAACTCACAGCCACAGACAGGAACGCTGCCCTCATTCAGAACCCTGCCGGGCTCCTGGTTCTGGCCCATCAGGACACAGACAGCCTGGAGGGCCACGACCCCCTCCCCCTTCCCCTGCCCTCCTGCGGATGAGGGGGGGGCTTCGTGACGACTGTGGCAGCCATCGGGTGTCCCCCACCTGAGAAACAGGCGCCATGGCTTACTCCCAAAACTGGGTCACCTGACTTACCATGGAAGGGCACTCAAGGGGCCCCAGGGTAAGCCCCACCACCTGCCACCTTAGTTCTGTTATCAAATGTTTCACAGCACCTGGGGCACCCACTGGCAGCCCCTTGCCCAGACCGTGGACCACAGCACTGAAGCAGGGCCAAGGCCCCTTGAGTCACCGCAAGGTCCAGCCCCCTGTGGCTGCAAATCAGGGGACCCTCGGGCCAGTCAACGCAGGGTCCGCTGAGGCACTGGAGGTGGCTCGCAGCCCCCGTGGGACGAACAGATGGGACCTGCCTCCAGGGCCCCTGAGGCACCACCATGGTCCCTAACAGACCCCAAGTGCCAGGACACGCAGCAAACAAACGGACCAGCCATCAGCAAGAAGGTCGTCCAAACCCCCATGCGGGACGGGCTGAGGAGCTGGCTGTGCACACACAGCCTCGAGAGTAAATCCCACCACCCGGGGCCCACGGCAGAGCAGCGTGGAGGGCAGGCGGAGGCCGGGTGTGTGGTCAGGGCCCTCCTCAAGGGAGAGGCCTGGCAGAGGGAGGCAGGGCACCTGGAAACCAGGGGGCTGGTGAGGCAGGGCCAGGATGACTGCGTGGGGGCCTCAGGCCTCTGGCTCCAGACTGCAGGAGGGAGGGGGGTGGCTCAAAGAGCCCCTAGCCTCTGCCTCTGCCCAGCCCTATGCTACCCTGCCATGATCTCCGGCTCCCAGGGAGCCCAGCCACAGGACAATACCGGCTGTGCCAGGGAGAGGGCCCTCATCCTGAGCAGGGCGGAGCCTCCAGTACCCGTACGATGGAACACAATTGAGCCACGAAAAGGAAGAAACGCTGGCCCCCGACAGTAAGAGGTGGGGGGAGACTGGCGCAGGCTACTGCACGATCAGCCTTGAGAACCCTCCGCGCCACGTGAGCCACCAGGCACCAAAGGTCGGACGCTGTGGGATTCCAGAACAGGCGAGCCCACGGAGGCCGATGGCAGGCTGCTGACTGGTGGAGCCAGGGGCACAGGGGTGACTGCTGACTGGAAAGTGCTCTAAAATGGACTGAGTGATGGACGCACAGCTGCAAACACTCAACCACTGGGCTGTGCCCGCGAAATGGTGAACTGCTGGTGACGTGAATTATATCTTAATAAGGCCGTTAGCAAAAACCCACAGTGCCTCAAGGGGAGAGGAGAGCTCAGGTCCCTGGACCCTAGCAGGCAGCTGAGCCCTCAGTGGGCTGGCCTCAGTATCCCCATCTCCAGAACCCCAAGCCGGGGACGTTCCCAGGAAAGTTCCCTCTAAGACACGCTCTCACACCCGGCCTGGGTGCTCAGGGGTGGCTCACACCTGCACTGCCCTGGCCTGCCGGGAGGAAGCTACGGCCCTCCAGGCCGCGGGGGCGCCGTCTGCTGCTTAAGTCTTCAGAAAGCAAAGATGCAAAATGCTCCAAGGTGGGAGGAAAAAGAAAAATAGACATAGGATCTACCAACAAATACCTATTTCTCCTCCTCAACTCCCTATTCCCACTGCTCGGGATCTGTGCGCAGAAACAGCTGGAGGAAGGCTCGCTGCGGCAGCCTCAGGCAGGAATACTAAGGCCTCCACGAGGGGCCCATCATGGAGAGACCCAACACTGCAGCCTGCCCAGAGTGTAAAACAGAAAGGATCACAAGACCCACCACAGCTTACCTGGAGTGAAAAACAGGATCGAAACAAAGGCTGGGGACACAGGAAGAGGTGGCTGGAGAGGGGAGGGCACCTAGAGAACGGCCTGAGTCGCGTCCCTTCAACTGTGCACCAAGCGTGCCTGAGTGGGAGACTGCAGACAGCAGTGGGCACCCGAGGGACCCCCATATGGCTGTTTCCACAGACTCTCACTTATTCTTCTCATCTGCCTCTGGCCCAGTCCCGTCCTCTCCTTTGGGGCCGATCCTGCTCCACCAGGCGACCCCACGCTGGAAATCTTCCAGCTTGGCCTGCAGGGTATGGGCAGACCTGCCTGGCTTCCCTGCAGTCAAGGAGTGAGCGGGGCACAGGCTCTGAGCAGGCACCGGCCTCCAGTCCCAGGGTGAGGCCACAGGCATTCATGAACACCCACATCTGGCATCAAGGAGATCGCGGCACACACACACGCAGACACACGCACACGGGCAGGTGTGTGCGGGGCTTGCCAAGGCTTGAAAACCTGACTGCCAGCAGGAAGGGAGCGGCCTGGAGGCCCGGGCTTCACCCACAGCCACACCTTACCCGCCCCAGGGTGCAGCCCAGAAGCTTCTACCTGGGTGACTGGCCAGGGGTTTTCCTGTTGTTTCTTTTACAAACGACTGGGCATCTTGTTTTGTGTGTCCTTCTCATCTGTATCACTATGACCCCAGCAAGTGGGCGAGGGGTTTCTGGGTCTGGCCTGTGCCAGGCACCATCCAGGTTCCGGTGTACACACATCAGGCCGTGCCTGTCATCGGCGAGGCCATCTTAAGTCCTAGCCCACTCAGCATGCACCGGTGACACTGGCGGGATGGTGAGAGAAAATACCGAAGCCGCTCCCTCGAGGAACCTGAAGTACCACCTGCCTTGAGCAGCCAGCCCTGTGGGCAGCGGCCACAGCCGCTTAGAGGAACAGACCGGGACCCGACTCCTTAGAGGAACAGACCGGGACCCGACTCCTTAGAGGAACAGACCGGGACCCGACTCCTTAGAGGAACAGACCGGGACCCGACTCCTTAGAGGAACAGACCGGGACCCGACTCCTTAGAGGAACAGACCGGGACCCGACTCCTTAGAGGAACAGACTGGGACCTGACTCCTGGGCAGGGATCGGGGGAACAGACCGGGACCCGACTCCTTCGAGGAACAGACCGGGACCCGACTCCTTAGAGGAACAGACCGGGACCTGACTCCTTCGAGGAACAGACCGGGACCCGACTCCTTAGAGGAACAGACTGGGACCTGACTCCTTAGAGGAACAGACTGGAACCTGACTCCTAGGCAGGGATCGGGGGAACAGAGGTGGGAGGACTCCATTTGGGTTTCTGCTCCTTTGGCCAAGAACCTTCCAGCGACCCTGGAAGGCTGCAGAGAGCAGGACAGAGCCCCACAGGTGGAGCTGACCATCCCGCTGGCCTGGGGGCATCGGGCCCACTGCTCCTGAGGTCTACCAGGGGCACACAGCCTGCCTCTGTCTGATCCCCCCCTGGGGGGCTGCTGTCCACTCCCCGTGGACGAGGAGGGCTGAGGGGTGAGCAGTCCCAAGGTGAAGCGAGAGGCACCACAGCGGGGGTCGCAGGCCTACCTGCAGCTCCTTGTCCGAGTACTTCTGAGGATTCTTGCTGCCCTGGCTCTTCTTCCGAAGCTTTTTCAGCTCAGCCTGACACTTATCCAGGGCGTCGCCTTTGCTCCTTTGCTCAGTCTGGTATTTCTTCAGCGCAGCCTGAGAGTCAAACAATAAAACACAAAACCAAGGCCCATGAGCCCAGTGCAGCAGGGTCCCCCCGGCAACAAAACCAAGGCCCATGAGCCCAATGCAGCAGGGTCCCCTTGGCAGCCCTGACGCTCCCCTCCTGGCCTGCTCTCCGGCTGCGCATGCTCAGCGGCAAATCAGAGCTGTGGAGAGCGCAACTGAGCCCTCAGCCCGACCCCACCCCACCCCATGGCAGCTCTCTGGTCCCCGAAGATGAAAATCAGACTTTGAAAAACTGGCCAAGGCCCACCCTTCCCGCCCACCACGGGGAGCCAGGGATGACTCTCAAACCCTCGAGCAGCGCCTCAGGCCCAAGCCTTCTTGCCAGCTGACAGGAGTGGCAGTGAGGCAGGACGGGCCGAGAGCCCAGGGAACTGCAGAGGCCAAAGAAGGAGCTCCTGCATTCCCGGGCAGCAGAGTCAGGCACCAGCTTCACCACAAGTGGTCAAAGCCGAGGCATGAACTGGGCACACGGGACATCAGAGGCAATGGGTTCACCCACAGGTTGCATTTGGGGCACACCAGGGGCACTCGGTCCCAAATGGACAATGAAGTCAGAGCTGGGGCCCACGCGGACAGGGAGCTCAGGGGAAGTGGGAAGCCTTCAGGCCGAGGGAAGGAGCGACAGGCATTCAGGAGAGCTGGAGCCCAGGCACAGGGCCCCAGCAGGCACGGCCAGGGTGCACTTACACTCAGGTACCTGGAGTCCAGCTCCACCTTCTGCTCCAGCTGTGTGAGCAGCTCGTTGTGAAAAGACTTCAGCTGGACATGGAGAGAAAACATCAGCCATCAGCTCCAACACATGGACGCAGAACAGGAGGGGGGCAGGGCCAGGGCGGACGGTCACGAGACCCAGGGTGTCCCGGCTGTGTAGGAGCCCCTCCCCCTGACTGACGGGCCATGGCTCTGCATGGCCAGGTGCGCCCTATGGAGCCAGGGGACTGCAGGAGCAAGTGCTGAACAGGAGTCTGGAACGTGGGACAATCTCGCCTCCGACAGCCATAAGGGCTCCGTTTCTCACAAGGGCAACAGAAACAGCTGTCCCCTGCTTCCTCTGCTGTCCCATGCCAGGGATCACTGCGACACAGGCCGAGAGGTCGCAGGGTCCATGAACCCGAACTGAAACCAGGGTCAGACCCCTGGCTTTAGACAGGATGCCGCAAACCAACCGCCAGCAACATGCTCTGGTTGTCCGGGGTCTGCCTCTGCCTATAGTCGGAGAGGCCGGGGAAGTCTGCCTGGCTGCCTTGTGAGCTGCAGGAGTGGGGTCTGGCTGGGGCTGCGACCAGGACTCTCCCTGGAGCCCAGCGTGTCGTGGCTGGCTGTGGTGGCAGCGAAGCATGCGGCCCCGGTCTGGCCCATGCCCTTTTCTCCGACGTCCTCCTTGGAGTATGACTTGTGTCCTGAGCCAGGGTCCCTCCCTGCCTCTGAGTGTGGCTGGACAGCTCGGACTGTTCCGGCACCAGCTCTCCCACTGCACCTGCCCCTCCTCGCAGGGCCACGCTGGGGGTGGGACTCACCATTTCTTCCAGCTGATTCTGGATCTGCCTGTGGACTTCCGCCATCTGGAAAAGAACGTCTCCTGGGAAGAACGGCAGAAGGAAGGGGAGGGAGTCAGGTGCCCGCAGTCACCACCATCATCCCACTCTGGGCTGACAGCCACCCAGGGAAGCCCGGTGACCACAGGCAACAGGGCCCCAGGGGCGTCAGGGCCAGAAGGGAGGGTGGAGAGGGGACACCAAGAGGAAACAGAAAATTCTAGAATGACAAGGGACTCCAGACCTCAAATGCACAGCACGCCTGGCATCTTTGGGACGGACCTTGAGTCTCTGCAAAGGCAAGAGACAGGAAGAGCCCGTGTGTGCCTCACCCCAGGCGTGACAGTGAGCGCAAACATAACGTCTTCACACATCCGACTCTCGTTCGCAGAGACCCAAGAGCTTCGACCCTCCCACCTCAGGCCAGGCAGACGGTCTGCAGACCCCACACCACAGCGTGCAAACCTCCTCTGGGGCACATCCATGGGCACGCGCTGGGCACAGGCCGCTCTGACTCCAAGACGCCTCACTACCCAGGCTGCAGACCCACAGCACCTCTGAGACTTCACCCAACATCTCCGCTTTGAGCCCCAGAGGAGCACGGTGGTCTGAGGAGGCCTGGCCCCATGGGATCGGCTCACCAGGCAGCCACCCTGGTGCACGGAGGCCTGGGCTCACCTTGCCATCGCTGAGGGCCCTGGGGACACACGGGCAGCGCTTGGGGACACTGATGTCTCCTCGGCCCATGAGCAAAAATGCAGATTAAGAAACCAAAATCGTGAGGCCAGGCGCGGTGGCTCACGCTGTAATCCAGGCACTTTGGGAGGCCAAGGCGGGTGGACCACGAGGTCAGGAGATCGAGACCATCCTGGCTACACAGGTGAAACCCCGTCTCTACTAAAAATATTTTTAAAAATCAGCCGGGCGTGGTGGCAGGCACCTGTAGTCCCAGCTACTCGGGAGACTGAGGCAGGAGAATGGCGTGAACCCGGGAGGCGGAGCTTGCAGTGAGCTGAGGTCACGCCACTGCACTCCAGCCTGGGCGACAGAGCAAGACTCCGTCTCAAAAAAAAAAATAAAAAAAAAGAAATCAAAGTCGTGGCGGCAAAGGGGTGAGCGGCCATCAGAGGCCTTTTCCAGCCTGGACATCGACGACACCCGGCTCGAGTCCACCTGTGGGGGGCAGCCCCAGAGGCACAGGTGTCTGGGCTACCCTGATGTGGGCCTGAGCCACCACTCTGTAAGGGCCTCACCACAATGCTGCATCCCCACCTGCTTCCACCAAAGATGGGGGCAGAGAGGAGCTGAGGGGTCGAGGCCTCGAAGACACAGGAGCACGGCCTTCCCACCTCCCTCTGCCAGAGCTCCCGCGGAGCTGTGATCCCATTTGAGACATGGTCGCCAAGGCCAGCAGGTGTCCACACCACCAGCCCATGGGGCTGGCAAGCCAGAAGCCCCCACAGAGGTGCAGCCAGCCTGGGTTCCAGGACCCAGCCCTGACACTCATCAGCAGAGCCCGAGACCCACCCCCGCCATCAGCACCACATGGGACAGGAGCCCTGGCCAGTGCCCACTCAGCCCCAGAGTGCCCACAAGCACCCAGCATTTGCGAGGTCGCCGGCCCCCTATCCTGGGGTGGGGGCCTGCAAGTTCACAAAGAGGTGAAGCAAAAGGCCCGAGACAACTCAGCTGAACTGTGCATGGCTCTTGCCATATTCCGTTTTTTTCATTTTTAGAGATGGGGGTCTCACTATGTCACCCGGGCTGGTCTCCAACTCCTAGGCTTATGGGATCCTCCCGCCTCAGCCTCCCAAGTAGCTGGGATCAAAGGCATGCAGCACCGTGCCTGGCTCTCGCCACATTCTGCAGCCCTAAATTATAAGTTAATGTCAAGACCAAATAACAAGCACGTATTCCCTTAAAAGGCTACACACAATGGATTCAAGAGGAACATCTGGAAGACAACATTGAACAGCAAATCTTTTTAAAAAGGGACTGTTGAATCCAAAAAGAAAAAAAAATATGTGGAGCTTCTCAGGGGGTTCTGGTCAGGTGACGATCACCACCACCCACCCGTGTGGCTGCGATACTCAAATGTGCACCCCAGGATCCCCTCCAGCCCGAGCCCCCAGCCCCACACTGCAGCTGGTGCGCACGCAGGGGAGGCCCAGGCAAAGCTGCACAGACCAGGCGTGTGCCCGCCCTGAGCTTCGAGCGGCGGCTGCACAAAATCATCCCACGCGTTGAATTTTTAAACTGCATCTTACAAGCAGCTGCAGGAAACCACGTGGGCATGGAGTGTGAACGTGTCCGGAACCAGCGCTTAACCCCCGAGGTGCTGCAGGCGCCCCTGCTGGGAGTATGACTGTGTGTGCAGCCACCAGCGCTTAACCCCCGGGGTGCTCTGATGCCGGCTGGAGGGACGGTCAGCCCAACACAGCTCCCACGTAAAGCACCAGACCCCTAAGGAATTCCAAGACCCTAAGATCAGCAGTGAGAGGCACCGGTAGGGGTAGTGAGTTCTGCTGAGCAACTAAGTCTTGTCTGCAGTTCCCTGTGTCCTTCAGGGGCCTGAAGAAGGAGTAGCAAGGTCAGAGCCATCGAGAGCCTCCCCGGGGTGAGACGTGAGGCCTTGAGTTCTTGGGCTCCCTCATCTCTTCATCTCTCCACGTTCCCTCCCATGTGGCAGGCAGACTTATCCAGGCCCACCCTGCTGGGGGACAGGCTTCCGAAGCAGCCTCACCTATCAGATGCCACCCACCCACTGGGAAGCCCACATCTCGTCCACAGCACAGGTGGGTCCTTAACTCAAAAGACGAGGTTCAAATGTAAGCTGAGTGCCAGTGGGCCAGGGCACACAGCACGTGAGCCAGAACAGACCGGCAGAGCCATCACCGTCGGAAGGATCCAGGGATCTGGGGTGCTGGGGGTGATGGACAGCAGGTGGACACGCCTCAGGATGTAGGTGTGGGAGTGCAGCGGTGTCGCACCCAGGCTGATGGGTCAACCCGCTCTGGGCAGCTCACACCACTGGCCCAGGGCTGCCTAGGGGTGCTGGGGAGTGAGGAGGGGAAGGAGCACCGGGAGGGCAGGAAAGGGAGCACATGTGGGAGTCACGGGCGATGTGTTTCCTTTGGGATGAAAGTCTAAAAACCACACAGGCATCCTGAAAACGAGGCCTCTCTTTCTTCAACCGTCTACCAATGGATGCCATGAGTGAAGCAGCGGCCGGTGCGCACTGGGGTCACGGTGGGCCTCACCCCACCAGCTCCACCTCCACCTTGGACAGGGCGGTCGCCAGGCTGAGACTGAAACCCGCTCCACGGGACTGACTGACTGGGGAGCCCAGCCTCCTGTGGACGGGCTGAGCGCAATGATGAGGACAGGGCTGCCTCAGGACCTGGCTGGGGCCCCTGCTCCCCAGCAGAGAAAACAGCACCTGAGTCAGGTGAGGCTGCAGAGCCCAGGCCCCAGGCGTGCCCGGCCAGCATCTTTCTGTCCTCGAGTCGGTTCTGCTTGGGGGGAGCACCTGGCGGAGAGGGGCCTTTCCATCTGCTGAGTCCCCAGCTCCTTTCTGGAATCCCAACAGAGCTTGGTGAGACCCCACGACAGCCCTCGATCTCTCCTGAAGGCTGAGCCCGGTCTCGCTCCCCGCAGGTCTTACCCCGACCTGCATGGGACTGTCACCCCACTTTGCAGGAGAGGGACCTGCCACCCCTACAGCTCGAGGCTGACTCGGGGCTGAGCAGGCTGGAGGTCAAACACCCCAAAACTCAGGAGCCCTGAGGGCTTCCAGAGGCTGCATCCTCAAGATCTGCTGCCAGCCTGGAGCAGCGGAGAGCACAGTCAGAGAGGAGTGGAGGCTGCAGTTCAGGAAGGCAGACGCCCGGCTCCCACCCGAGATGACACCAACAGCCGCATACATGCCCAGCTCCCACCCGAGACAGCACCCGCACCCACAGCACCCACAGCACCCAGCTCCAAGATGGCACTTGCACCCACAATGCCCACCTCCCACCCAAGACAGCACCTGCACCCAGAGCGCCCAGCTCCCATCCGAGATGGCACCTGCACCCACGGCACCCGGCTCCCACATAATACGGCACCCGCACCCACAGCACCCAGATCAAAGATGGCACCTGCACCCAAGACGGCACCCGCACCCACAGCACCCATCTCCCATCCGAGACAGCACCCGCACCCACGGTGCCCGGCTCCCACCCAAGACGGCACCCGCACCCACAGTGCCTGGCTCGCACCTGAGACGGCACCCGCACCCCAGCCACCTGCACGCTCAGCACCACCAGCCTCAGGATGGGCAGGAAGCCCAAGCATCTGTCCTCCCAACATTGGGCTTTTTTTTTTTTAATTGGGAAAAATTCACATAACATAAAATTCACCATTTTTACCTTTTTTTTTTTTTTTTTGAGACAGTCTCTCTGTCACCCAGGCTGAAGTACAGTGGCACGATCTCGGCTCACTGCAAGCTCCACCTCCCAGGTTCAAGAGATTCTCCTGCCTCAGCCTCCTGAGTAGCTGGGACTACAGGCGCCTGCCACCAAGCCCGGCTAATTTTAGTATTTTTAGTAGGGATGGGGTTTCACCATGTTGGCCACACTGGTCTGAAACTCCTGACCTCAGGTGATCCACCCACCCCACCCCGCCAAAGTATTGGGATTACAGGCGTGAGCCGCCGCACCCGGCCAAGAAATTGGGACTGTGGCTGGTGCGGGGATTGAGTCCACGACCGTGGCATCAGCACCATGAGCTCAGCAATTGAGCTAACCGACCGCCCTGACATTTTCATCACCCCGAAGAGAAACCCATGGCCCCCAGCAGTTGCTCCCTAGCTCCAGGGAACCAGTCTGTAGAGTGGCCTATTCCCAACCCTTCACATCACTGCAATCATACAGGACCCTGTGTGTCTGGCTTTTCTCCCTGGGCACAATGTCTTCAAGCTCCATCCACGGTGTAGCCTGCCTCAGAGTCTCCTTCTTGTCTTTTTAGAGACAGCAGTCTCACTCTGTCACCAGGCTGGAGTGCA